GCTAGGTAATATATCCTCTTTTCCCCTTGCAACCAAGAAAGACTACCCATCAAAGTGAAAATACACACAGTTTCTTATCATTTAATTATAAGAGGAAAATCTGAGGGATCCATAAAATCATTACCAAATCTAAGTGCAACCATGGCACTTTGCTATACTTGGGGCAGAATATGACCATCCTCACAAGGAGTGATTTACTCTTCCAGGCTTGGCAGTGCTCTGAAGGCTGTGAAACCCCAGCACAGTCCACAGCCTATATCTTAACCTAGTCCTTCTCCATCCACAAACACTTCATCTATCCTTTTCTGCACTGTTTCCCATTTGCCAACTTAGTTCTTTCCAATTATAGGACAAATTTTTGGGTACTTCCCAATTCCCCAAGTCTGCCTCCCTTTGACCTCTTGGCTTGGAAAGGCAGAAAGGCTTTCTATTGTAAAGTCGGGCACTTGAGTGACATCACCAAAATGAAATCATAGTGGAGGATTACCATTTCCTCAAGATGAAAGGAAAATGGAATTTTTCTTGAAAAAAAAAAAAAGGTAATCATGAATCAAGCCTATCCTTTGGCACACTGTTTATACTTCATGGCTCCAAGATTGGGGTATTATTAGATACATAGGCAGAAGGCAGCTTTCTATTTTTTAAATAGAAAATTTGAATATTTGATCTCACCTCAGCAGGTTTCTTGTGTTCACTTGGAATTTTTGACTTACACTTGCTCCTCCTATACATTGAGCCACAAGTAAAGGAAGTAGAAGGACCTGCAAAAGATAATTAGAAAAAATACTGAGACTTATCTGCTAATATAATTAAATGTCACCCAAGAGAATTTGAAATACATGATGGATTAGAGGACAGTGATCTCATATCACTGAAGAAAATAGTTAAACTGAACACAAGGAAGGCTCGTAGTGGAGTTTAATGGAATTTATAGGTGACTTACCAGCATGCAAGAGCTTCAACAATGCTACTGCTAAAGAGATTTGATTTGGTGTAATCATACCGTACAATATTTTGGAATAACATGATTCATGTTCCACCTGGAGAAGTATCTGCAAAAGCAACTAGAAAAACTAAAACTGTGGAGCAAGTAAGCTGTGTACTCTTCAGCACTTCCCCAAATACTGTTTTAATAAGGTTGTTGCCTTTTACAAATGAGTTTCATCCAGTCAAACATTTAGTACCTGAGCTACAATTAGAATTGTAGGCCAACAATTTATATTCTCATACTCCCTTTCTAGAAAAGTACTATCATTATTAGAATTTGGCTTTTGTTGTTTAGATAATGAAAAATGAAAAAGTACTATATATGCCACACAAAATCGATTCTCCCACCTGTAATTTATCTACTTTTAATGAAATTTAAATAATAAGAAAAACAGTGCTCCAAGTCTTCCTTCCCAGAAACATTAGTTTTTAACCACTGAAGTACACATGAAACAGCTTGGCCTCAGGTTAAAGGAATACTCAAGGAGTACAGATACAGGGATTACCAGCCATGGACTGGTTCTACTCACTGCTGTCTGAACTGTCACTGCTGCTGAGATGTCTATGGCGTTTCATCATGGAGCATCCTGGGAAAGAGAACAACACTGAATAAAACAGTCAACATAAACACACACACACACACACACACACACACACACACACACACACACACACACACACACACACACACACACATTCCAAAGGGCAGTAAACACTGTCCTACAGACCCCAAGAAGCAAGAGCAAATGAGACAAATCAAATGATAACTGACTGTCAAGAATATTCTCAAATGACTTAGAGTAATAGAAGAGTCCTACCAAATTCTCAATACAGAGTGTGTCAAAGGCTGGGCAATGCCACATATAAGCTTTAGGAGGAAGCCTAAGCAACAAAGGAGGAATGGTACAGGATTGTTTAGAGTTTCAGATGTGGCCACATGACCACTGCCCACCCAAACAAAGGGGACAGCCATAGGATCATCAACAGTTAGGCATCCCGAATATATGAAGAGTAGGAAAGGAAAAAGTAGCAGTGAAGGCAGAGCTGTCAAGGGCCAAGGTTGAAAGAACAATGAGGCATGTCCCATCTTTAAAAGCACAATCACATTACTTTTCTGCCTTCCTTTTCTCACTTTCTCCCTGTCCCTGTCTTCCAAACAACTAGCATAATTTAAAATTGTATCTAGGGGCCTCCCTGGTGATGCAGCAGGTTGAGCGCAGTGCTATGAGGCTGTCTGCAGCCTCTGCAGCGCCGGTTCGATTCCGGGCCAGCCAAGGAGATTCCCACATGGCATGGCAGACCTCTCCTGCCCCAAACACTGCTCCACTCAGCAGTGTATTTCGTTCATTCTGCCTGTTCTGCTCCCTGCTCTGTCTCTGGTGAATTCTCTCACCCTCCCATGCCTCTGGCCTGTACCCCAGTGCTTGTATAAATATATAAATCTTAAAAAATATTTCTGAAAAAAATAAAATTGTGTCTACAGACACACAAGGAATGTTACAGAAAACTCCTATACTGTGAAAAATAAAAAAATGCTCTGGACTAAAATTTCTAATGGTTTAAAAGTGTCTTTCCTATGTGTATGTGTTTGATAATAGAGATACTACCCTTTGGGTCCACACCAGTACTAGAATTTAGGGGAAAAGTAAGACACACATATCACAAGTCACAAAGGAAATGCTGAAAATATAAACTAGAAAATACATCGATATAGTCAGTAACGGACATTCTTTTATGTGCTAAAGTATATAAAATGCTACTGGGGCTATCCTCTTTCCACAAGAAATAAAGGCAAGGGCTACTGCCTTTAAGCTACTCACAGTCTACTCAGGAGAGAGAAATTCAAGTATAAGGCCACTGTGAGAAATTAGGTGTAACAGAAACAAAAGTATATGCTGAAAGCTAAAGAGTTTTACTTCTGGCATGACAGTGTGAGGAGTTTCATGGACCCACAGCCTAGTAAAATTATTTATCAAAAACCCCAAAAAACAAACAATTATTTAAAATCTCTAGAAATGGTCGCAAGGGCATATAGCAAATGAAGTAGTAGTTATTAAACAAAATCTAAATCTAGTATGTAAAGTAAGAAATCAATGGTATCTGGACCTTGATTCCACTTTCTTACATCCTCCCTCCAATCATAGATCACAAGTTAGACTGGTGCAGCCAAGAATATGGAGCTCCTTCTTCCCCAGCTCCTAGTTGCAAGGTTTCCTTTCTGAGGAGAAGCAGTAAATCACCATTTCTCTTCCCGTCCCCAGCTACCTGTTGCTGAGGCTAAGTTCCAGACAGGTGTGGCTGAGAGGTGGAGGCTCCTTATTCCAGGTGGCGCCCACTCCTGGGATGGAATCTACACCTTGAGTGTGGTGCCACCAAGAATACCAAGGCCCCAATTTGCTGGTCCCAGCTGGTGGGGTGAGGTTCTAATTCAGGAGAGGAGGACCTAGGAGATCTGGGACTACATCATTCAGAGGTAAGTACATCATCTCCATCCCCTGCTTCACAGCTGTGGCTCAGAGATTTTTCCTAGGGGGTGATACATGCCATGGACTAGAAGGCTTCAACTCTCCTACCCCCCACTCCCATAACCGACTTCATTTGCAACACAGTGTGGAGAAGTTCAAGCCTAGGCTGACTATCATGCTAGAATAAGCTAACTATTATGCTGGAGAGTGCCAGAGAGAGCTGGTGTCAGAAGAAATCTCAAATACTGATCTGTTCCTCATAGTTCAAATGCTGAACTATCCCTTCAAAGGTGCACTGATTTGATTGGATCAGTTTGTGGAGAAATCTATGCCTCAGAGTATTATCATAAACAACAAAGCAAGCAGCCAGCAATTAGGGGAGCTTAACAGCTGGGAGTGGTCAGGGACATAGACAAAGAGAGCCTCACCAAATCACTGTGGGCATACCCAAGATTGCATCACTAAGGAGCAACATCAGAGGCTTCACACAAGGCAGGAGAAAGAAGGGTAGAAAAAAGGCTTCAATAAAATAATCCAGTCAGTCACTAAAGAAGTAAACAAGCTAATAAAAATAAATCACTGTTGTGGGGTGGGGACCAATGCCCAGAGTTGCTACATTACATTATCTAAAATGGCTAGTTTCCAACAAAAAATTTTAAGACATGCAAAGAAAGAGGAAAGTTTGATTTATACACTAGCAAAAAAGCAGGCAACAGAAACTATGAGCAACCAGACGTCAGACTGAATAAATGACTTCACTCAGTCATATAAATATGTTCAAAGAAGGTAAGTGTAACAACAGAGACAAAGTACACAAGATAACTAAATGGTAATTCTGGCATTGAAAAATACAGTAACTAAAATGAAAAATTCACTAAAGGGGCTCAGCATCAGATTTGAAATGGAAGAATAAATATAAACTTTAGATAGATTAATAGAGGTTATATAAGCTAAAGATCTGAGAGAAAAAAGATGGAGATAAATGAACAAAGCCTCAGAAAAGATGGGACACCATTAAGTACACCAAAATATATGTAATGGGAGTTATCAAAAGGAAATGAGAAAGGAGTGGGAAAAATTTTCAAAACAATAATGGCAAAAGCATCTCCAATTTACTGAAAAATATTAATTTGCACATCCAAGAAGCTCAACAAACTCTAAGTAGGTAACTACTTATGGGCTGCTGCTGCCGCCGCCACTACTACCACTGTAGCCCCGCCCGCAGCCACCACAGCCACCACCACCACCACCGCCACCACCACCACCACCATCTTCAAAAGAGAATGACAAACAGATATTGTGGTAAAACTGTTGAAACCCAGAGAGGGAAAAAATCTTCAAAGCAGCAAGGAAAAAAATGAGTCCTCACTTGTAAGGGAATCCTAATAAGATTAAGTTTAATCTTCATTAGAAACCATGGAAGTCAGAAGGCAGTAGATAAAATATTCAAAGTGCTCTGTGGTGATATTTGTACATTCTCAATGAATATATTGAAGATCATAAAATCGTATACTTTATTTTTTTTCATTTTAGCAGTTTTTAATGAAAGTTATATACAAGACTATTTTATTCCTGCATCTTCTCAATTGTTGCTTCCTTGTATTTGCCCTTTTCCTTTCCTACTTGGTGAGATTTGGCTTTGTGTTTTAGGATCTTTCTGCGGTCTTTGTCCAGCTTTAGTCTACTGATAACCACCTCACTGGGGTGAATGCCCACATGAATGACTGTGCCATTTGCCTTCTTCCACTGCACTCTTTCAATGTAGATGATATATTTCTTCCTGTAAACCTGGACTACTTTGCCAATTTGCTGTTCTTTATAATGTCCCCGAGCAACGTGAACATCATCATCCTTCTGGATGGGCATGGAGCAGACACTGTACTTCTGCCTCAGCTCTTTGGAAACAGGGGAAGACAAGATCATCCTATGAATGTGGGAAGGCACAGGGAAATGCCTTTTACAATTCTTGCTCTGGTCAGAAGTCACAAAGGGATTGAACTTCATTTTGGCCGCTGGTGCCTCAGTGATAGCCACAAAAGGGAAAAGCAAAACTGTATACTTTAAATGGTTGAACTATATGGTATGAAAATTTATCAGTGAAGCCATTATTAAAAATATGATTAGCATAAGTATCAACATCATTGAAGTTTGATATGTTCTAATGTGAAAGCCAACTGAATATTTCTTTATTAAATTGAGATACAATTAGCATAACATTCACTTCAGGTATACAACACAATGATTCAACATTTATATACACTGCAAAATGAAGAATGTATTTTTAAATAGAACGTTAATCTCCCATCAAATAAAAATTTGGGACTATGTTTGGCTCTTTGGTGTAAAACTTAAGACATTCAAACACTTCTGAAATGCAAACAAAAACAAAACAACGTAATTTAAAGTCACAATAAATGTAGAAATTTAAACAATAAAAGTAATAAATTTTCTAATTATTCCCTATTAAATGCACAAATCTACCACCTCTAGCTATTTCATTTTTCTGATATCATCAGGATGTTTCATATATGTAAACTTTCCAGATAAATGGTGTGCCAAACATTTTAAAATCCTATTATCAATGGGAGATTTTCTAAAATATCCATTTTTATTGTTGAAGCAATAAATTACCACAAACTCAGGGGTTCAAAACTACACACATTCATTACCTTATAGTTCAGTAGGTCAGAAATCTGACATAAATCTCAGTGAGCTAAAATAAAAAAGCCGATAGGGCTGTTTTCCTTTCTGGAGGCTCTAGGACAGAATCCATTTCTTGCCTGTTGCAACTTCTAGAGGCCACACACATTCCTTGGATCCTGACCATCTTCTTCAATCTTCAAAGTCAGCAATGTCGCAACTCTTTGATCCTCATTCGCTGATCCTTCTATTCTGCTCCCTTTTCTACTTTTAAGGACCCCTGTGATTATATCAGGCACACCCAGATAATCCAGGATTATCCCTAGTTTAAAGTCAGTTGATTAGCAACTTTAATTCTCCTTTGCCATGTAATTTAACAATCACAGATTCCAGGGATTAGTGTATACAGACTTTTTTTTTGGGGGGGGGCGCATATTATTCTACTTGTAACCAAATTTTGCATTGTCAAAAGTGAATATACGCCCACACAAATATGTTCAATGGGTATCTGACAAAGGTGGAATAGTAATTCAGTGGAGGAAAGATAGACTTTCCAACAAATGGTAAAGTGGTAATATTTTTAAAATAATGAATTTCAACCTAAATCTCACACTTTAACAAAAGTTAACTCAAAATGAATCACAGACTTAAATGTAAAACTATGAAACTTTTAGAGAAAGTATAGGAGAAAATATTTGGGAGCTAGAGCTAAACAAAGTTCTTAGACTTGACACCCCAAAGCATGGTCTCACAAAGAAAAATCCACCTACTTCAAATTTAAAAACTTGCTCTATAAAAGACTCTTAAGTATAAAAACAAGCTACAGAAATTGACAAAATATTTACAAACCACATATCCAACAATGGACTTGTATCCAGAATATGTAAAGAACTCTAAAAACTCAACAGTAAGAAAACAAAGGACTCAAAAATGCGCAAAAACTTGAACAGACATTTCACACACACACACAGCAAACAAGCACATGAAAAGATGTTCAATATCATTAGCCATTAGGGAAATGACAATTAAAACCACAATAGCTGAAATAAAAAATAGTGAAAATTCAAATGCTGGAAAAGATGTGAAGAAATTATATCACTCATACATTGACAGTGGGGATGTAAAACAATACAGCTACTCTATAAAACCATTTGACTGTCTTTAAAAAGTAAAAGTAGATACCCAATTATCCTAAAACCTAGTAATTGTAATTCCTGGGCATTTATCTCAGAGAAATGAGAATTTATATTCACACAAAAATCCATTTGCAGCAGATTTATCACACCAACCAAAAACTGGGAGGAACCCAGATGTCTTTCAACAGGGAGTGGTTAAACAATCTGTGGTACATCCATGCCATGGAATACTACTCAGCAGTAAAAAGGGACAAAGTATTGATATATGCTACAACATATAAAATAAAAAAAGTAAGACACTTAGTAAAAACATTATATTTAATGAAAGAAGTCATAAACACAACATTCCATTTATATGAAATGTCTAGAGCATGCATATCTAAAGAGTCACTAAGTAGATTAGTGGTCGTCTAGGGTTGGGAATGGGAATATGGACGAGAGAAAATAGGCACAAAGCTTCTTTTTTCGGGGTAACAGAAATGTTTTAAAATTGTATAGTGGTGATGGCTGCAAAACTGTAAATATACTAAAACTCACTGAATTGTATACTTAAAATGGATGCATTTTATAGTATATAAATCATGCCTCAATAAAGTTCTTTAAAACATTAAAAATTATTGAAATGTTTTGTCAGTGAGAATTTTTTAGGTAGCAAGAAGAGCAGCAATACAAAAATTCTGCATCTAGTGAATATAACATCCACATGGATAACTCATAGTGAGAGTGAAAGCAGCAAATGGCATAGAAGAAATACTCTTGATCTCTAAAAATTCTCAGTGAAGAAAGGCTTCCTCACTTCCCTGAGAGTTTCAGGAAACTGATGACTTCTTGTGAGATATATGCTCTTCTCATCTGAAATTCTGGTCTTAGGAACTCTGGCTAAAACAGTGTCCCCACTTTCTACAATATTCTATTCTTTAAGTGAGTTAGCAAACTGTTCATTACTAAAGGAAGTACAGATTTTTAAGAATCTGCAAAATTTGATGTTTTAGAAACTATTATTATAGTAGCAATCATTGTGTATTAAAAATCTTGTATTATCTTGTATAATCAGTAGAGAGCCTAGGAAAAAGATTACCTAACAAGAGTTAACATCAGTCTTGGAAATTTAGAAGGGGGGTTGCAAATGACTTAGAAAATAGAACAAAGTAGGGCTAATTTTAGGGTTTGGGCTGTTATAGTCCACTGATCTATTTCTATAAAGCACTGCTGTTTTAATGACTGTAGAAAATGACAGAGAGTAGTAAATATCAGCAGAGTGAGTCTATGACAATGAAACTTTGTATGTCTATTATTTCTAATCACAACAGTCCTACTATAAATATCACCACAGCCATTTTACAGATGAAAAAGTTGAGGCTCAGAAATGTTTAAACAATATGCTTGGAGTCACATGACCACCAGAGGGCAGAGCTGGCAGGTAAACTGGGAACCTGAGGCAGGCTGGCTGGATGAGAGCATGGTCATCCCACGCATGTATCTGAGGATATACATGTGGGATGAATATCTGAGGCCCACATATTCTGGCTCCAAGTTGCCAGGCCTCATCAGCCTGCTGCTCCCTGCCTCCTGAAAATGCTTTGCCCCATGTGACTGGGTGAACACATCTTATTTCATATTTTCCCACCATTGTACAGAGCTCTTCCCTTTGCCTATGTTGCCTACCATCTTACTCTGACCAACCCACATGCCCTCAACCTGGTCCTATTCACTTGTCCAATCTCTTCAGTGAAGCTATCCAGACACTCCCTTCCACAATTATTCATTTCTTTGCTTTCTATCCAAGACTCTGCACATGCTTCAGTCTATACAAAAAACACCTCATTTGCACTGTAAATATTCTTTACCTGATCAGCCCCACCACTACACCACAACCACATGGAAAATAGGGACTATGTCACTTTCATCTTTTACCCCCAGGCCTTAGAACAGTGTACTGCACAAAGATTAACAGGCTCTGTGGTGCCTCTCCTAGATCTCCTTTACCCATCTCTCAGCTACTGCCAGTTAGCTGCTAATGGCTCACAGCTGTCCCCTTCCCCAAAAGCTGGAGTCCTGCCAAGGGGAGATTATACTCTCTCTGTCTCCCTCCTGGGGCAGCCAGCAGCTAATAATTACTCTACACTCTCCCTGGTCCTCCCCCACTCCCCAGCCAAAACAGGCTAAGGCTAGGCTTTCCTAAGATAATATCCTTCCTTCTTCCTTGCCCTCTTGTCCTTGGCCCCTTATAAGTTTCTCCCAAGAGTAGTCCCCCTCAAATCATGCATGTTCAAACATCTTAGCTTCTGCTTCTGGGCACTCCTACCTAAGACAACACCTGAATTCTCATTTAAGTGGTACATTTTAACAAGTACCTTAGAATAAACCTTTCTTTGTGAAACAAAATCATAAATTAGCACAGTGCAGTCTTGGAGTAACTTTGTGATGTGTCTTGATGTCTTACATTTGGGTATATATTTTTTAGCATTCTTTTCTTCCTTACCTCCCACAATGAGTATTCCTTTGTTTTGGCAGAAATGATCTGTTTACTAACCCTCATCTTGCACCCTTGGGGAACAGCAATTTTTAGATCTTATTCCTATTATAATTTCAACAAAAATGACCAACAGCAAGTTGATTTATTTTAACAATTTACTGTAAACCAGGTAAATACCAGTGTATGAGGAGCACTATCTGGAAGTAAACCCAGCTGGGATTATTTGGAACTGGAATCTAAATCTGTGGTTTGAAGGCTACTTGACTTATTAATATTTCTACAGAAAAGCAGGAAGGCAAGGAAAGTGATTACCTCAATCACAGGCCTCTCCTTTCCTTCTATATGCTCAGCCCACAAGATATACTTCTGAAATGCATGGTCAGTGCAAGGAGCCCTTATTTATACCACCTGCAGTCTTTCTTTCAACACATTCACATGCTTTGACCCAAGAATTATACTTCCAACATTTATCTTTGAAAAATAGTCCAACAGAACATGATTTAGGAATAAAAATGTCCATTAAAATGCCATAATAAAAATAGTAAATGAAACCAAGCTATCAAACAAAACAGGAATGATTAAAGGATAGCAATACTATGAAATTTTATTCAATCATTTAATATGGCATACAGGGAAATATTTATGTGAAACTGCTAAGTGGAAGAATGGTATAGAAATTGATTTTATATCAACATTTCATCTATGAAGTAAAATACATAGAAAATAGATGAAACCAATTTACCAATATTAGTCACATTAGTAACACTGAAGTGGTGGGTTTCTGAATGATAAAAACATTCTAATTTTTTTCCATTCTGCACATTCTAACAGTACACATATTAAGGGTATTTATAATTAC